TTGCTACACATAAAAGAGGCAGTAAATTATTTGTCATACATATGGAACACTTGTTTCTAGTATTAAGAAATCTGTCAAGAACTTGTCATCGCAGTTCACTGTAGAATTAATTTTATTCCTCTGGCGAGCAGAAGGCCCGGTGGTTCATCCATACCATAAAAATACAACACAGGGCCAAAGGAGAATAATATTTATGTGAAGCTGACTATTAGCAGATCCACACCTTTAGAAAAAGTCAGTGGTGCACCATCCTATGATTATGTCTGCACCATACATTTAAAGCACATGACTTCCCCCAAAGAACAGGGGGATAACTGTAGTTTACTCCTCACAGTGCTAGAATTATCAGCACCCTTAACAAACTACCAATGTCAGGATTCTTAAGGGAAAGTCATGTACTTTAAATACATAGTGTCTATACAGCCTATGCCACCTCCAGGATGCCAGTGGAGAAGAAAAATATCATGCCTAGTGATATTTATGGGGTAGGATCCCATGAATGGGCTTTCTCTGTGGTGGCCCCTCACCTATGGAATGAGCTTCCCTCTGAGGTGTGTATCCTTTTAGTTAACTATGCTTCTTTTGCACTTGCATTTTAATTGTTTTATTCCTTCTCGTAAACTCCCTTGAGAGTTTGATTAAAGGGAGGCATAAAAACACCTAATTACCAATAAATATTATAACAATAAGATTACATATTTTTCACTAAGTGTTTCATGTACATGATTTCAGCATTTCTCACAACTGCCCTTTTAAAGCAGGAACGAAGAACCTGCCGGCCTTGCAGGCATTTCTGAACTACAGCTCCGAGCACCCATGACCTGGCTGCGGCGGGTGGGAGTTGTGATCCAAAATACCTGGAGAGCACCCCATCAAAGGCTGGACTAGATTATTTCCAACATCCCTGTTGCAAAAAAAATATCAGTACTGCATTTTAAAGAACCCTATGAAGTGGTGCTACATGGAAAGAGCATGAACAAATCAACATTGCACCTTTCCTGTGCTCTTGAAACTGTAGCATATAGGAGCTGTTGTTAAACCTGCCAAAGTACTTCTCTGAGATGCAGTCAAGACTATGGTATGCCTCTGTCTTGTTCTTAATGCTTTCTTTTTCTGGTTGAAGGGCAAAGCAGACTGTGCGAGAGAAGCAGTGCAACCCAGCAGAGAAAATATTAAGCTTTGACCTGCATTAAATTCCCAGCAGGAAGTAATGGTGATTGCTCTCAGAGCATTGCTAAAGAATGCTGAAGGTGATAGACTGCGGCTCTTTGAAAATTAAAACTGCTATAGAAACAAACAGACAAACCCAAGAATGTGTTCACATCATAAAGCGCTCGCCCCTGTGTCGGTACCACATCATGCTAGTTTTTTATATTAAAAACGGAATGACTTTACTGCAAGGATGTGAAACATGGCCCGCCAGATGTTAGTGGACTCCAACACCCATCAGCCTCAGCCAGCATGGCCAATGTTTAGGGATGATGGGAGTTGTAGTTTAGCAGCATCTGGGTGGCTACAGATTTCCCAACGATGGCTTTTCTGGTTCCAATTATTTTAGAAAGTGAGGAAATGCCAATTGCTATGGCACGCTTTGATTGCTGTGGGGGTGAAGATGGCAGCCAGATGTTAAACAGACAGTTGAAAAAAATCTTAAGACAGTTAACTGCAGGTTTCACTTCTGTGTATTGAGCAAGAAGGGGTGTGTGGTAGGGGATATAAGACGAAACTATTTTCTAAAAGGCTGATTTGTAGCAGGTATTGAAGAGGCAAGAGCTCTCATGTTCCTCTGAGTGTTCATATGAAGTAGTCGTTTAGAGTGAAACTGCTTCAAGAAAGATTGGCAGGTAATAATACTTTGAGAAACAAGAAGTGGAGGTTGGGGGTGGAGGAAGGAACCTGAGAACGAAGTGGTGGAATTCAAAAGATCTGTGGTGCAAACAACCCAGCGCAACCCAGACTGCCCCATAAAACAGCAACAGCAAATAGGAGTTCTGTTATACCCATGAGGAAACGTCATAAAACCACATCATGCCTGGCAGCAACCGACCCACAATCCCGTTTCCTCTGTTGTTATTGCAGAACTGTGTTCAACGCCTTTGGCTCTGTTTAAACGCTGCAGTGGGTTCCTTTAGAACCCCCATGGTTTAGTGGGGGAGGCCATAAATCAACAGCCGTTCTTGCCCTTAGCGTTCAGTCTGAGCACAGCAGGTATTCATTTAGGATGTTTTAAAGACCTATTTAAAACAAAGGTTGTCTAGGGAATAAGTGTAGCCTTTGGTAGAGACCAGACATAGTTTAGTCAACCAAGCGGTTGTAAGATCAAGCCTGTGTTGCTTTACACACTTGCATACCCTCCAACATGCTGCAGAAGAAAATCAGGAAACACAACTTTTGGGGCCACGCTCCCAAGCGGATCATGTAACTCACACGAGAGTGCCCCCCAAGTGCATCTTGCACTGAAATGCCTTCTGCACATGCTCAGATAATACTGTTGCCTATTCCAGTACCCCCTTCCTCTCCCTGACCATATCTGTAGTTGCACTAAGAGAATAATAGCCTCATAGAAGCACAGAGGCAGAAGGGCTTCCAGGGGTCACCAAGGCCAGAATCTCCAACTCACCCTGGCAGGCAGGTTTTCTTGAGGCTGAGATTGGATACACTCTCCTTCAAGACAGCTACTGGTGGGGAACGCAGCCAGTCAGCAGCGAGCAGGTGTGGAGAGAGCCTGATCTGGATCCTGCCTTCTTCTCTTCCAACGTTGGACAGAGGTAGCAGCTCTCAAGGCAGTGCTGTTGCCACTCAGGGCCTGTGGGCACCTGCTTAGCTCCCAGCCACGACGGGGCGCATGTCACAGCCGAGTGCCGTTTGTGCTGCTGTGGAGCATTCCTCTCCACTCACTGCCTCACCCTTGGTGCTTCCTCACCACCATGTTGAGGTGGTTGGCGCACCGAGTTCACGGGGGCACAGGGGGACATAGGCTGCATCCTGAGGAGTCTGGCAGCTCCTTCTCCCTTCTCCCCTGCCTCGCTAGGCACATCTGCCGTGTCCTGCACACCATGAGTGTGCTGAGGGCAAGGGCTGGTGGGCTGAGAGGAGGCCTGGGGGGCCTCTGTAAGTCCGGGATGTCCCACTTAAAATGCGACAGTTGAGGGGTATGCTCTTGGGTAATGCAATCTGGTTTACAGCAGGCCTTTTAAGACATTGAAATGCAGTGCAAGTAAATACCTTGCTCCATTGCAATCTGCAGCAGCAAACACCAGCAAAGCATGTGGGTGGGCCGAAGTCGTCCACCAAGTCCCAGGATCTGCCTTTTTTGTTGTCATGCATGCGGTGAACTAGCACTCCCCCTTAACGAAGGGAACAGCACAATCTTAACAGAACTTTTCTTCCTTCTTACATGGAACCTGCAGCCAGCATTTCAAGGAGTGTTTGAAGGGAAGAGTTGAGAAATGTGTTTCCCCCCAGACTCCCTAACTTGTTTCAAGCAAGATTCTCTTGCTAATCCAATTCCTACATATACACCACTAGCTACTTTTGGAAGTTCATGTGCTATGGCTTCTCACATGCAGAGAAATGGTGGCCCCTTCCCTATTTGATCCAAATTGCTTCTAAAAGGCTGCATTTGTTCTATCTTGCCTTGACAGAAAGGACTTATCAGAATCAGCTTTGTCCCTTCCTTTTAAGCTTCTTATACATATCAGCTGTTATTTTTGGAAATCCAAGTTTATTGCAGCACACGTCCCTTCTTGTATTGGAAGACAACCACAGCGGGAAGATCATCATGTTATGATACCAGGCAAGTCAAAGGCCTATTTACTAAAATTTCCTCAAGACACTGGTTTCGCTTGAATTCAACCTAAACCTTTTCACTTACCTTTTAAACGTGAAACACTTTGTATTAGAAGCAGAATACTAGACGTCTTACTGTTTAGTTCAGCCTATAGGTGAAATTCAGTTCACAGCATCACCTTTCAGTACCTCTCCAAATGTCCCTATTTTCCAGGGACAGTCCCGGATTTACAAAAGCTGTCCCAGTTTCTGATTTGATCCAATAATGCCCTACTTTCCCTTAGGATAACCCTATTTTCATCGGAAATTTTTTGAAGCGTATAGAGCTATGTGACCTGAGCCAAGGAGATAAGTAACTATACTACCTTTAGAAGACATCTGAAGGCAGCCCTGTATAGGGAAGTGACTAGGGCCACCCAGTCAGATGAGTGGGGAATAATAAATAATTATTATTATTAAATAATAATAAAATAATAATAATAATAATAATAATTGACTAGGATGGCCCTCTTTTTCATCGGATAAATGTTGGAGGTATGCGCTTCTGCTTCCTAAATGCCACCAGGCCACTGTATTGTAGTAACTGTAGAAGTCACAGCTAGCATGTTTCTTCTTGCTATGCAACTCTGCAAAAGTAACCTGATGTTCCTTGATTCAAAGACCCACAAAAGCCTGTTTGCTTCCTGGATGCTTTCCTGTCTTTAGGCACAATTTAAGCTCTACTTTCTTCACCTCTGGACATCCATTATCTTTTAATCAGATCTTTACTTTTCAACCTACATTCCATCTTCCAAATCCTTTCACATTAGTCATTCAGGGAGATTCAGACTCTTCAGCCCATCCGCTAATAGCAGCACACATTCTTTGTCCATTTTAGGTGCTGGGGGGTCTTGTTGTTTCACAGCACCCTTTCTAACAAGCCCTTCTTTTTCATAATCAGCTGTCTTGGTCATCCTTCTTCTCCTCTGGCCTCTTTGGAGCTGGACCATGACTGGGGAGACGCAACTTCAAATCCTTACTTGACCATGCAACTTCCTGGGCGACTAACAGTCACTTGCCATTACTCTTATCACAAAGTCGTCAAGAAGCCATGAAATGCAAGAGGTGAGCTTAAGTCTATGACAGGCATAAGAGTCCTACTGTGCCTCTTAAATTTTTTGACCCTCCCCTAGCCAATATTGGGCAACACTTCTTGCATCTGAAAAAAATGAGCTCTGGATAGCTCAGCTGGTTACAGTGTGGTGCTGATAATGCCAAGGTTGCAGGTTCGATTTCCATATGGGACAGCTGCATAGTTCTGCATTGCAGGGACTTGGACTAGATGATCCTTAGGATCCCTTCCGACTCTACAATTCTGATTCTTATGAAAGCCTGTGCAATTTACCTGTGTTGTTTTTTAAGTTGCCACAGTAGTATTTTTTTCTGCAAAGATGGAACATTGCTCCCCACTCTAGAAGTTTTGTTTCCTAGTTGAACCAAAATTTTCATGTATCTAGTGGAGTCAGTGCTAATCCACAATACTGTTATTTTTGCAATATAATAAAGGCAATTCAGACAAGCACCATCTTCTTCCAGACCCTACTGTTGAAGGGCTGAGAGTGCAGGAGCACCATGTTTGGTTTGTGTTCCTGTCCCTTTTGTTTCCCATTAACATTTTTTGAAGCAGTCCCCACCCCCACCCTGTTCTTTAGCTCTGGATTGTCCCTTTGTTATTGCACGGTGACACTGGGACTACTAAATCCCAGAGGCTTGCAAGACAAATCCAGCAGTTTGGAAGAATGTGTGTGCATGCGTTGCATTAAGAAACCCATTTTTTCTTGCCTGAGACATTTGAGAAATTGTCACAAGGTGCCAATACGCTTGGTACTCCTATTTAGCAAAATGAACAAATAATGGAGTTGTGTTTGTGTAGAGGCAGATGGAGAGATGTTCTTAGGGGCTCTTGAACATTTGGCACATAAAGGAAGTGTATGAGGGCAATGACATGCTTTCAACAATTCCTGGAAGCTCAAGATAAAGTTCAGATTAGAAGGCAAACCACCCAATGCGTTCACTCTGCTATTTGATGAACTATTTGGCATTTTGACAATACTTTTCTGTTTTCTTCTGGCCAACAAAATATGCTCTCAAAGCAGGAGTTGAACATGTTTGAATCCCTGAAGCAGTATTTATTTAATAACTTATTATATAAAAATAGATAATAGGTAGGTAGCCATGTTGGTCTGCTGTAGTCAAAACAAAATAAAAAAATTCCTTCCAGTAGCACCTTAGAGACCAACTAAGTTTGTTATTGGTATGAGCTTTTGTGTGCGTGTACACTTCTTCAGTAGTGGTATCTGAAGAAATGTGCATGCACACGAAAGCTCATACCAATAACAAACTTAGCTGGTCTCAAAGGTGCTACTGGAAGGAATTTTTTTATCTTATATAAAAATAGCCCATCTAAGAAGAGCAGAAGTGCAAGCCAAAGATAAGATGCATAAATATTAGCCCAGCCTAATCACATAGATCACAAGGAAAGTCAGGAGTTCTTGTGCAAATTAACTTCTATTCTGGTGCAAGAGGATTTGTCAAGACTGGAGTTACTGAACTTTTCTGCAAGGAAAACCAATTTCACTATCAAATTCTTGAAAAAACACTTGGGGTTTATTGATTTAAACTGCAAACAGTCGTTACAAAAGATTCTTTAAATAAACTCACACAAAGGAAGAAAGAAAAAAGGCAATGTAGTGAACAGTAATGGGAAAAATTACATTCAATGTGTTCTTTGTGCCAGTAAAGTTTACCTTAAATGAGGAAACACTCCATTCTTGGAATACAGAAATGCAAAGACAAACTGCATTTGGAATGTCTTTTGATAGGCACTTGAAACCAGAGGGTAGACTTTTTTTTCCTTTAAGTACTTACAAAAAAGGAAGCAAGCAGTCTTCCATTTTATCATCTCACAGCACAGCTTGTGCGTATACATTCTTGAGGCCAGAAGTGAAATCGTGACCCTACTGAAGTCACTGACGAAGCCTTCAATGACAGCAATGTGGTCAGAATTTCATCCCATCCAGGAAAGGCCTTGTTGGGGCATAGAGGCAAAGAAGCACATTAAACTCAATTTGCAGTCTGACACAAAAAGGGGAACGATCTAAAATAAATAATCCAAACACAGCTGTTGCATTTTTTTTAAATTAATTTTTCATTTTTTAAAAATAAAATAACCAAAAAAGTGTAAAGTTACAAAAAATGTCATTGTAGTATAATATATTAAACTGTGGGGAAGGGGGAAAGAAAAAGACTTCACAATCTTAAGATTAATATGGAAGATCATAATTTAAACATAAAAGAATATATTCTATGAATTCATCCAGATAAATATGAACAAAATTAACAAAAAAGCATAGGTTTCAGCAATAAATACGTTTTGATAAGTTAAATAAGCTTTATATTGTTGTGCAGTGACAAGCAAAATTTGCTCTCCAATTTCTGAAAAGTTATACAAAATTAAAAACCCAGGAAAATAAAAATAAAAAGCTTGGCGTGAGTGCTCTATGGATAGGTCTATTGTAATCTAGAGCAAAACCATTAAAGCTATGACTACTGGAACTTTGTTTACACAGAACTTGCATGTGTGGAATGAACACCGTTAGACACCCCCCCCATATTTTTTTTTGTTTCGCTTTTGAAGGTGTCACATGTACACACGGGGAACTTGTAGCACCAAAAGCAAGTCTTTCATTGTCCATCTGGCTTCCCTCTCCAGTCACCAAGTCCCATGCATGTGACAGCTACTGTCCATTCTCAGCTGTTCTTCAGGCTGACCTGAGTAGATTCAGGCAAGGTTAGTCTTTAAAAGGTGGTAAGGGCTGGATGTTAACAGGCGTCCACATGCCATATGTCTACAAAACACTGGCTAGAGAAAGGGGGCGGGGAAAGAAAGAAGATTCTGCATCATGGCCAGTGATAGGAGCTGCTGGTTCCGGATATTCCCTGCACATCTGGAAATGCACAGAGCTCTGTGGAGGCTGCTGGTGCCCTCTGCAGCTGGAGAGGTAATATAGTCACAGTGAACATGTTAAAAAAAGGCACTACATTTGTAAACGATTATCACTTTTTGCTGTAATTTTGGCACTTGTGGTTTCAGCCAGTGAGTGGACTTTAGGCAAGTGGACTATCTTTGCATTAACATCTAACCCAGAGATGTTATGAAGATTTGGGGGTGGGGGCTGAGGTGGGAAGGAGAGAGATTACAAGCTTAAAATTGTAAGAAGAGAGGCTAGAAGAGGCCGAGAGGCAACACCAGGTTACTCGTCAGAGATGGAGAGTCTGCTGAAGATGGGGAGGCGTCTCGAGGTGTCCAGGATGGGCGAGTCAGAGCCGCTGTGGCTGCTGCTTGAGCTGCTCAGGTAGCCTTCCTGGTCGGAGAGAGAGTCCTGAGGACTTGGAGGCGAGTCAAACATGTTGGGGGACTCCGACATGGGTCTGAGGAGAAAAGCAGTGGGCGAACCCCCACCGGGCATCTGCACCCCCATGCTGGGAGCAAAGAGATTGGTCAGCTCCTGGCTGGAGAAGGTGAAGGGGTTGCTGGCACAGTCAGGCAGCGTAGGAGAGCCCAGGAGGTCGTCAGCACTCATGATGGGCGGAGGGGTTATGGAAGTAGGGCTGTCCAGCAGCCCGTTGGCAGCAATGGCACTTGGGAAGCCCGCAAAGCTGAAGCTGTGCTGGAGGCGGGGTCTGTCGGCCATGGCAGGATCTCGGCCGCTGGCTACAGCGCGGCGCTCCTCAGCGTTGTGGATGAAATGGCAGCGCGGCCCATAAGGGCAGAAGCCAATGGTGTGGAAAGTGCGGCAGAGCTCCGTCTTGTACTTGGGGTGGCGGGTCAGGCTTCGCAGCTCGTGGATGCCGTGGGCGAACTGGCACTTGTCTCCGTATTTGCAGGCCCCGTTCTCCTCGAAAGGGCGGCATAGCTCCGTCTTGTAGCGACTCGAGTTGACTTGCCCACCAGGCTGCTTCTGCTGCAGTAAGCGCTCGCCACCTTCAGAGAAGGAGCGGTCCCGAAAGCGATTCTCCCTGGGCCCGAGAGTTGGGGCTGGCTCCCCCTTGAGGCTGCTGAGAAGATGGGCCTGGTGGAACTTGGAGTTGGGCAAGGTGACCGAGTGCCTCCTGGGGAAACCCCCGCCAGCTGGGGTTCCCACTGCCTTTCTGTCCAAGAGACACCCTCCGACACCAGAAGGGCTGTAGTTCAGCATCTTGTTACTCTATAGCAGGGGGAAAAGGAGAGGCCAGTCAACAACCCAACTTCCTCAAGAACCTTTCAGCAAGATGCAGCCTAAAACCTGGCATCTATACCTCCCTCCCAGTTTCCTTATGTGCATAATAGGCTCTCCCAAAGCCCCCAGACTCTGTTCTGCGCCACAGGTTGGGTCAAGGAAAATGAAAGGCACAATCCAAAAGATGAGCCTCTTTCTATCAGGGAACAGCTATACAGTATGTCAAAATACTTCCAAAGCGGCACAGTAAACAATGCTGCTATACAACAGCTTTTGCTTCAGGTTCATTTGTTCCATCCAAGCATAATGCCACAATGAAATACATGTTGTTTCACTGCCCTAGGCAAAGGCCTATCCAACTATTCCTTAAGCAGCCACATCCCCCAAGCATGTTCCTTTCCGAACTAGGCATGGATTCAATACTTCCACTATGCAATTTATGCCTTAAAGGCCTAACCTAGTTACTCCCAAATTTCTGAGCACATTCTTCAACCCCTATTCCCATGCCCCTTCCAGTAAGAAACGATGGAGGAGGGAGAGAAGTGAATACAGGCAAACAAATAATAATATTGCTATATACAACAGATCCCACTCTGGAGTAAAAAAAAATAAATCTGTGGTGGGGGAAGTGTGTAAGACTCAAGCTGAAAAGAAGCGTGAGACTTTGGGAAACATGCTAGCTACTAATCTAAATTAATCCCATCCCTCTTGCTCCACCTCCTGCACAGGAATTGCATTTCATGTGATCCATGGCAAAATTCACCCATAACCGCAAGAGGATTCCTTTGCAATTAGCCATTTGGCAGCAAAGAAGAGTCTGCAGCTTCAGTTCTAAACTGCTTGAAAGCATCAAGGAAGGAGACATGCTTGGTAAAAGGCAAGATTCGGGGCTTGGTCCGGTTTATATTTACTCTATGAGATTTTTTTTAAAAAAGTCATTGTTGTGCATCCATATTCAACACACTTAATGGTAAATGGAAAACCAACACCCAGGTTTGCTCCGTTTTGGAAGTTATAAGGGGTCCATGAAAAAGCACAATCAGCTGTGCAACTTCAGAATTTAAACTACTAGTTCCAATGTGACATTGTTCTCAATGAAGTAGTGCTTTGCAACCTAGTTATAGTTGTTAACTTTCCCACAACACGGATCTCACCCACCAGCAAATTCTCCTCCAAGTAAACGTAGGAGAAATGCATACAGGCAAAGACTTCTGGTATGCAAAGATAAGGCCGCTTGAAAGAGAAAAACGCAACCGCGTGAGTGGAATGAGAGATAAGCCTGGTAAACTGCTGGCTGTAAGAAGCAGCAAACTGCAGAACTACAGGCGGTTTTGACTTGACTGCAAACGTTCTTTTGCAATTCCACATCTCCATCCAGTCGCGCGCGCACACACCCACCCGATTTTCTCCTTTCCAACCAAGGAGAAGCCAGTAGACGTGAAAAACAGCAACGGATCCCACTTGCGGGGAAAAGTGGCCACAGCCATCTTTCCCCACCCCGAGTAAGCAATTAGACGTGCGGCTGAGCAAGTCATTGCAAGCAAGAAACTTTCCAAGACACGCGTTAAGAGTTCCAGTGAACCCCGGAGGTTGGTTTTGCTATCTGAAATGCAATAGGGACCTTCGGCTCCCTATGCACAAGTTGCTAAAATTTCACATTCCACAACATGAGCAGAAGTCTAAACTGAACCACGGCACGCCTTAGTTCAAAGTACTGCACAGAATCTAGGATGAAGGGCAACTCCCACAAGAAAAGGGGCTGCCGTCTTAAACACACTTTCTGATTTAGGAAAATAAGAGGGCCAGTCACTTCTGCACGCGTTAAAAACAAGCTTTCATACATTTGAATGGCTTTCAATCTTCTATAAGGAATAAGGACCAGCCGTTGTAAACTTGAGCCAAAAAGCAAGAGGGCAAACTGCATGGCAACCATTTCGGAATGCAATCCCAGCAAGTCACTGAAAACATCTAACAAGTTTCTTCGAGAAGGCACCCAAATTTAAAACTCTTGAAAAAACAGAAGAAAAACCAAAGAGAGTCCAACAAAGTCAATAACACGGGAAGCGAAGAAGGCTCGCTTGTGACAATACCCTAAACAGCCTTTTACTAGATTTGGCGCAATAACCTACCTTAACTTCTTCCTAGGCAAATCTCCCTAACAAAGCAATCTAAAGTATGCCTACTTAGAAGTAAGCCCAATTAAGTTTAATGAAGCTTACCCCCAGGTAAGCGTGCTCAGAATTGCAGCCTAAATAACTCGTCAAGGCTCCAGACCAACTCCCAAACAAAACTTTGCGTTGCTTAAAAACACGCAACACCCAGCAAAACTTTAGGCTCCTAAAAAGCTGAATATTGGAGCAAAACCGGGACGTGGGGGGGGGGGGCTGGTGACAGATGCGGAGTGAGAGATCATTCCCTTATGAAGTTTTAAGAGATAATAGGGGCTACAACTTACTTTGCATAAAACTTCACTCAGCTCGAAGATGGTTGGAGACACGAGGGCTGTAGACATCTTCAGCTACCAAAAGGAGGGGCGAAGACGTGGAATAAGTATATTAGAATAGAAAAATAAAATGAATCACAGTGTTGTAAGGCACAGCCTCCAGTTTCCCTGGGTACTCCTCTAGCCCCCTCCAGCTCCAGCAATTCTCCCTTCTCTCCTTCCAGAAGAGTTTTGCGTAAAGCTCAATTTATAAAGTTTCAGACCTTACCCCGTGGGAGGAGCTCCAAATTCATTTAAATGAGGAAGAAGGCGGAGGGAAGATGACTGACGTAGAGTCTGAATCACCCATGCGGTGATAAAAACTTTCAAGGAAGGCGAAAAACTTTCAAGGAGGGCGAAAAGGGGGAGGAGGGTCTTTTTAAAGGCGATCTCTGTTATTTTTAAAAGGGGATTTTTTTTAGAAGTACAGTGTTTGTGCAAGTTACCTCTAATTAGAAAACGGGGGGAGGACTCGAGAAGACTCTTTTGTCAGGACTTGAATGCAACATGTGACGCTATTCACTTCAACCACTCCGGCCTGCCCTCCCTTCTCCTTCCTTAAAGGCGGGATCAAACTGTTTCCTTGCAAAATTTCCTTGCTCTCAGCCCCGTTTCTTTTTGTCTTTCTTTGAAGCAGCTTTCTGGGGCGCTGTTACAGTGCCCGTCTTCGCGATTTCATTTCCTCCATTCCTCCATGTTGTTTAGAGGGAAACAAAAGCAAAAACTTGGGAGTCAACTTTAGACTTTCTTTTCACACTGAGAGCGCGCAAGTAAAGGGAAGTATATTTGATAGTCTCGGGCAGTTGAAACCTTATGACTACGTTACTCGGAAGGAAATCCCGAGTGAACTCGAGCTGGGCTCATTTCTGTGTGAGCTGAGTAGGGCAAGGCTGTGTGATCTGAGGCACATTACTTGGAAGTAAGTTCTGTTAAAATAAAATAAATAAAATAAAATAAAAAGGATTGGCTTCCGCGTAAGCGTGCGTAAGGCTGGAGTCTAAAATTAAGAACTTGCAAAAGTTGTTCCTCGCGGAGAATGAATTTAAAACTAAAGCATCAGTAAGGGACAGGGAGTGCGCGCCCTACTTCTTTTTACAACCCTGGATTTAGAATAGTGAATTAGTGGTATTGGCTCAGCTCAGAGATTTCTGTTCGACAGAATCCTCGTTTTTGTTCTTTTTACAGACCCGATTGCGGTAGTTTTCAGCTACTGATTTGGATCCCAACACTGGCGAATTGTTTCTGCAAGGGCGACCGGCTTTTTAGAAAGGTCTTATAAAAGGCTCTTTCTCTCTTGCACGCTTGAGAAACTACAAATTGGGGGAGGGGATGTTTTGAACGACCAGCTTTCTACAGTAGTACCGCTTTCATCTTTCTGCCTTTGTTCCCGCCCCCATTTCTTTTAATTATTTAGCAGATGGTTTCCCAATTCACTCAAATGCTAGTGCCCTCCGTTTTTTTTTTTCTTTTGGCGGGATTCCGCTTAGGAAAAAAACACATGCATTGGAACGTGACTCTCGGCCGAACTCTACGATTTGCATCTGGGAAGGAAAGGCGATTAAAGTTTAAATCAGTTCTCTCGCTGCCCTTAAGTTGTGGAACAGAAGGTTAGAGTGAAGTGGAAATACCACTATTTCCTCCCCCCCCTTCCTATTTCCATGTGCTCATGTTACAGCAAAGGGTCACCCACACAAGCCCTCAGATGTTTATGGCACCATAGTTCAAAATGCAGGGGCTGTTATGAAAGAGCGCGCCTCCAGTGCATTTTCCACTGCGGCGCAACGAGGCCACTTGCTCTCGGAGCGAGACTTTGCAGATCTCTCTCCCCCGTTTTCCTTCCTCTTTTCTCCCCCCTCCCCCCAACCTCCCCGGGAACGTTTGAAGCTCCTTTTAGATTGTACGGGCTGTAGCTGCGATTTCCAACTCGGAAGAGCCTTCCAGTTTGGGCAGGCTCGCAGCTGCCCGCTTTGATTGAAATTGATTGCCTCCATTTTTAACAGCGCCCTGCTGCTGCTGCCGCCTCCGCCGCCTTTGCATTTTTACAAGCTGAGTCGCTTCGTGTTGACTCGCAGTCCCTCCCTCCCCGCGTTACTCCTTTTTTCCGTTTTGTGGAAAACTGGCAAGACTCTGCTGTAGGAAATAACCCGCGCTCGCTCTCACATAAATAACTCGAAACGTGTTACTAGTTAGCAAGAGGATGTTTGCTCATTTTGGCGTTTGCGCGTTGCCCCCCCTTCTCCCAAGGGAAACGGGACTCTTTCCGAAACTTTTACTCCCTCCCTCCCAATAACACCCAGTTGCCAGATGACAAGGGAACGAGGCGGGAAGGAGGAAGAAACTGTGTGGGTGGTGTGAACAATGGCCATTGCTGCAGGGCTACCACCTTTCACCCCCGCGCTTTAAGCCTTTTGTCCGGGAAATCTCGCAGGCGGTGGAAACTGCTCGAATGGGGAGGGAAGGAGGCGAGCCGAGAAGGACACGGAAGTGGCTCCTCCCTGTTGGGGAGCGCAATGGCAAGCTCCTCCTCGCCATGGCCGCCTCCGGAAGTGCGGAGAGGCCCGAGAGGCGGAAGGAGCTGACCACGTGTGGCGCGTAAATCCCGAAAAGGAGCAGCCGTTCCCGCGCCTGCAGCTTGAATGTGAAGCCTACGTGTTCATAGAATCATACAGTTGGAAGGGAGCCCGAAGGGACATCTAGTCCAACCCAGGAAACTCAACTAAAGAATCCATGACAGATGGCCAGTCAACTCTGTTTTACAAACTTGAGCTCAAACCTGAAACAATTAAAAAGTTTACTCAGAAGTAAATCGGAATGAATGCTACGTGAGTTAGCTCTGGCTTGCAAAATGTGCTAAACTTCCAAGAGGCCTCAGCTGTGGTAATCGTACAGATTTGAAATTAAGCAAATAGGGATTCCAACAAATGTGCCTCCGTCAAATTCTACACACCGCCACCCCTCCCTGCCTCCTCAGTTTATTTTTGCAATCGTTTGTGGTCCCTCACAAGGCTCTTCCTTGGATGCTTCATATTTTCTTGTGGCCCCCATAGGATAAGTATTGGGGGATGGGCTCCCATACTCATAGCTTGGCTAAATTAATGCTGTATAATCACAATACAGTGGTACCTTGGTACTCGGAACGGCTTGGCTCTGGAACAAATCAGCTCCCAAATGCAGCAAACCCGGAAGTAAGTGTTCTGGTTTGCAAACATTTTTCAGAAACCAAGCATCCGATGCAGCTTCCACGGCTTCCGATTTAGTGCAGGAAACTCCTGCAACCACTTGGAAGCCATGTCTTGGTTTTCAAATGGTTTTGGGAGTCAAACGGACTCCTGGAACAGATTTAAGTTCGAAGGAACATAGATGTTACTGTTTATACGTAAACCACAGATGGAGAAACTCTGGCCCTCTAGATGTTGGATTCCAACTCCCATCCATCCCTGATCACTGAACATGTTGGCTGGGGCTGATGGGAATTGTAGTCTAACAACATTTAACAGGCCACTGGTTAGCCATCAGACATAAATAATTACTTATGTGAACACAACTGGAGGACACACTCAGCCTTGCACGTTTCTGAAGTGTGCTCACAATCTCCTTCCACCTGCACTACAACCATAGTGGTATTTGGTTGGCCGCACTGAGAACAGGATACTGGGCTAGATGGGCCATTGGCCTGACCCAGCAGGCTCCTCTTATGTTCTTATGCCAACTCATGTGAACTGGCATTGGCACGGCACTGCTTACAAGTGTAGACAGCCAACATGAGTCACTCTTTGTATATGTATATTCATTGTCGCCTGTGCTACTTCGGAAACACGGCTTGAAACTCATCTTCCCTTTCCCTTAACCTCGCTGATCAGCCAAAGATAACCAAAAGATGAGAGAGAGAGCAAAGAATGTGAGCAACGCACGTTTCCTGTATTTAAAGAGACAACCAGTTTTCTTCTTTTTTAAAAAAAGCTGCTGTATTCTGTTGCTGAAAGTGAGAGTAAATGGAACAACTGGAGCAGGTTCTCTTCTGCCATGGTTTGTGGCCCTGTGCCCCATGCTTGTTCTTGGGCTCAGAACCTTTTTAATATATAATTATAAGCTATTTTAATCATTAGTTTAGAGCTATCGTTGCAGGGACTTTCCAACAGTTGCTAAATTCAAAGGAGGAAGCTGGAACAGATAATTACTTCACCACTAAAATGATTTGAGCCTAGGTTTTTATTGGCCTATCTCTGCCTGTCAAGATCAGTTTAGAATAAGAGGGCAAGGCAACAAAAAAAAGGCAAAGCTGCTTGCTGGCAAAGCTCCCAGAGCTTTGCATCTAGGATGTCCCAGGTTATTTGCCTTAGGTCTCCAGTTAAAATGATATATAGTGGTACCTCAGGTTAAGAACTTAATTCATTCTAGAGGTCCGTTCTTAACCTGAAACTGTTCTTAACCTGAGGTACCACTTTAGCTAATGGGGCCTCCTGCTGCCGTCGCAGCGCGATTTCTGTTCTCATCCTGAAGCAAAGTTCTTAACCTGAGGTACTATTTCTGGGTTAGCTGAGTCTGTAACCTGAAGCGTCTGTAACCCAAGGTACCACTGTAAAGTAGCAGAAGATTTGAAAAGGCCTCTGCCTGGACTCTGAGGAGATAATAAACTAGATGGACAGATTACCTGACCAGGTATAATGTGGCTAACTAAATCTCACTAAAATGGATATTGTGTGTATACAGGAGAATGACGAACCAGTCACTTTTGATCTTAATAGGTTAGTCAAATTATATTTACTATTTTAAAAACATTTCGTATGATTTGCTGCAATGATTTCCCAGGGATACATCTGTAGTCCCACAAGGCTTTGTGTCTAGGTACTAGCAGGCTGATCTGACCAGGCATATCTTAATGGAACAGGAATACACATGAGAGCACAACCTGTCACCATAAGGGATATCCACAGTCAGGATAATGTGTGTGTGTGTGTGTGTGTGTGTGTGTGTGTGTGTAAAACCACTGGAGGGGAAGAAACTGGCCTGGGACCACAGTCCACTGTTTTCCCAATTAAAATCAACACTCCCAGCTGCTGTTTACCCCACAGCTGGAAACATGTGGATACCTTAGTTTAATGCATCACATGGGCCCAGCATAGTGGCTTTTAATGTATTCTATGTCACAATAGAACTTGTAGGGCTTTTCCAGACCACCTGTTTATTGAGCATTCACCCTGATTTGTTTCTAGGGAGGTTACATGACATGGGGCTCGTCTACACATCTGCTTGTCCCACTGCATTCCCCTGGAAAAGCCCACTGTTTACTGCTGAATCGAAACAAACGTCAAGCAGTTTTTCTGCAGATTGATGTTTGTTCCGATTCCGTGGTAAACAGCAGGTTTTCCCAGGGGAAAGCAGTTGAACGAATGAA